ATGGGGAGAGGGGTCCTGCCCCTTTCCGTCTGCGGAGTCTGACACATTCAGCCGGCAGCCGCACGAGCACCGCGGGAGGACAGGACACAGCCGATAGCGATCGACCTAATGGGCACCCCTGCCTTACCGGATGCCCCAATACTCGGGGACGTGTGCTTGCAGTGGCCGCGGATGGCACCGCCAATGACAATAATCGTATGAAGGATGTCACCAGCACACCAAAAATCCTTCAAGGATCGCCAAGCATCCATTTATTCAGAACCATGTCAAGAAAAACAAGCGCTTTCAGAGCCGCCCAGGGTCCCTTCATCAGGCTTAGCATTGTCAATCTGCAGAATGGAGGCTGTCCCCTTTCATGTGGCCTGCTCAATGGGCCGTGGCTTCATAAGCAGCTCGAAGAAAAGAGAGTCTGTACAAAAGGTTCTGAGTTCAAAAGTTAGCAGAGGCCTCACTTTCACCGACATGTCTTATGGAAACAATTGTGAGTCTTTGCTGAAAAGAATCCCCGCACAATGAAGTGAATGTCTTTGCAGACATGAAACCGTGTTTGACGTTTGAGTTTTCTACAATTGGCGACTCAAGAGTTCCCGGCCTCAGCTGACTTTCTGCCGTAGCGTTAGAGATATTAGGCATGGATCCCAATGAGTTTCTGGGGTTATGCAGGACCTCCTTCATCGGGGCTTTAAGATGTCCGAAGAAATACGTTCTAGAATAACAAAGATGAATCGACTGTGGAGGAAATTCTCAGACCCGAGCAGAAAAATGCTGCAGAAGTTCCCTCATAGCCCCTGAAATGAGTTTGGAGGGTATCTGTGAGAAGTCGTGCCAAAAGAACTTTTGTGGGGTCAGGAACTGATGATGGATGAGAAGACCTGTCTCACAATTGGCGTTCCAACCCATCCTAAAGGTGTTCAGTAGGGTTGAGTTTAGGGCTCAAGTTCCTTCACATCAAACTCGTCAAACAATGTCTGTATGGGGCTTTATTTATATAGTCTCTCCTTTATGGTTATAACATCCTCAACTCTTATGGGAAGGATTCCCACAAGATTTTGGAGCATGACTGTGAGTGTTGGTGCCATTTGTGAGGTCAGGTGCTGACGTTGGATGAGAAGACCTGTTTCAAAATGGGTGTTTTAACCCATCCCAAAGGTGTTCAGTAGGGTTAAGGTCAGGGCTCTGTGCAGGAAACTCAAGTTCCTCCACACCAAACTGGTCACACCATGTCTTTATAGAGCTGGCTTTGTGCAAAGAGGCACAAAACCTTCTTTTTAGACACCTGACCTACAGTATATGAGCCTGTTGGACATCCCATTTTATAACCATGGTCATGAATATGGAGCTGCGTCTTCTTCACAGCCTCCAACCTTCTGGGAAGGCTTTTGGTGTGCCCATTCAGCCAAAAGATTATTTGTGAGGTCAAGTACTGATGTTGGATGAGAAGATCTGGCTCACAATCGGGGTTCCAATTCATCCCAAAGGTGTTCAGTAGGGTTGAGGTCAGGGCTCTGTGAAGGACACTCAAGTTCCTCCACACCAAACTGGTCAACCGTGTCTTTATGGTGCTTGGATATTAAAATGAAGTTGTCTCCCCTTTATGGCTATAATATCCTCCACTCTTTTGGGAAGGATTTCCACAAGATTTTGGAGCGTGACTGTGAGTGTTTGTGCCTTTTTTTAGGTCAGGTCCTGATGTTGGATGAGAAAAACTGGCTTTCAATCAGCATTCGGATTTATCTCAAAGGTGTTCAGTAGTCTTGAAGTGAGGGCTCTGTGCAGGACACTCAAGTTCCTTCACACCAAACTGTTCACACCATGACTTTAAATAGCTGGCTTTGTGCAAAGAGGCACAAAAACGTCTTTTCGACACCTGACCTACAGTTTATGAGCCTGTTGGACATCCCATTTTATAACCATGGTCATTAATATGGAGCCGCCCCTTCTTCCCAGCTTTAACAGCCTCCACCCTTCTGGGAAGGCTTTTGGTGTGCCCATTCAGCCAAAAGATTATTTGTGAGGTCAAGTACTGATGTTGGATGAGAAGATCTGGCTCACAATCGGGGTTCCAATTCATCCCAAAGGTGTTCAATAGGGTTGAGGCCAGGGCTCTGTGCAGGGCACTTAAGTTCCTTCACACCAAACTGGTCAAACCATGTCTTTATGGAGCATGATTGTGCATCTACCCCCTCACTATGCTAAGCCCCACCCCTTTCAATTTAGTTATTAAATGCCAAAGCACTCAATGCCATCACATGGGGCAGATATAGAGTCCTCAGTGCTGTGTAAGCTCCAAGCTGATCGCAATCAATTTGAAGAGTGACACAGCTACTTATTGACACCTCAAGCTTCCTTCTTCATCACTATGCTAGAAGCACTTTAATCCAGGTTGGGTTTACTTTAACCTAACGGGATTTGTAGGCACTAGCGTGAAGTCTACCCATGACACAAACCCCCCTTAAAACAGTTGTGGGGTTTCAGACCTCTCAATTTCTCCATCATCTTCTTCTTCTTCTTCATTGGATCCTCACCTACATGGACAACCAAATCATCAGAAAAAAGCCTTCCACAAATTGTTCTCACAATTGTGTAAAATGTCTTAACAGAACCCTTCAGTGGAAACATCTGAACCTAATCACTTGGAGGGTCTCCTCATACTTCTGGCTATATAGTATATCCAGGGCTGGATTTACTCTCTCTGCTGCCCCAAGGCCAGATTCCTCAATGCGCCCCCCTACCCGCCAACCCCCACTTCCCCCCATGGAGAATGGCAGACCTGCAGGCTGCATACAAGTGATGTTGACGACATCACCAGGATCACTTGTACAAAACAAGGGGCAGCTTCCCCGCTGTACAGTTAGCTCTGCTTGCCCAAAGCAGGACTAAATGTAGCTAACAACTACCCGCCCGGTGCCAGGAACTGCATGTCCCGGGCATCAGGAGATAGGAATTCCACACCCCTGCTGCCCCTCTATTCCCTGCTGCCCCAAGGCCGGGCCTTGGTTGGCCTTGTGGGAAATCCGGCCCTGAGTATATCTACATCTGCAGACACCCCCCCATGGAACGTTCATATAACACTGGAGATCCAGAGCTTCCGATTCCATAGCCAGCACATTTTCTACGTTGCTCCATGTCACATTGACCCACACTTGCGCAATAAAATAAATCCGTCTATAAAACCGGGATTATTATAACAATGGTCATGTCTGATCTCCCACACGATCAGTGACTTCCTGCTCTGTCTCCCTCCCGTGCGGGCTCAGATTAATCGTGCCTGTGCCATGTATATTGTCATTAAAACTCATGTCTGATGACTAATAGCTCGTCGTTAATTCCAAGCAGTTTTCTTGTAAAATTTGAAAAATTGAGTCTTCTAATGAAAGGCATTTCGAAGGAATAACTCGCCCACTTACCTCCACCAGAGGACGACAGGCAGGAGTGAGCCAAAACCACCTTTATTACCTGTGCGTATCCAGAAATGAAAGGAGGAGGGATACAATAGCCCAAAGGTCAAGTTTGAGGAAGGAGCAGAGACCTGGCTGGGAATGAGCAAATTTGTGAAAGTTCTACATTTTCCAAATTGACCAGCAAAGCCATCATGTCTGTTTTATCGCGGACAGTGATTGATAAACAAAAGCTTTGGGTTAGCATTAAGGTTCAGTTAGGGTTCCTCTGTTCCTCAACATCTAATGTCATGTTCCCAACTAATGAGAGGCTGTTCTTTGGCCCCAATATAGACCCACATTGGTCGAAACCTTTTTTTTTTACCCATTGGGAGTCATTTAAAGTCCACGGCGCACTTCAAAACCAACAAAAACCACCTTCAGTTATCCAAAGGGTTCCAAAGTGGTCTGTTGATGACACCCACTGACCACTGACTACCAGTTTTTAGCCTTTGATGCACAAGCCCGGGCTGCTGAGTTGGAGTCCTTTTGGAGTGCATGCAAGGAATTGCTTGAGCCCTAATAAAGTCGGATTGTTGAGCCCCCGAAATGTGTTTGGGGGGTTTCTTGTCACCTTCCTGATAATTGTGGACTCGACAGTAATGTTCTGGACTCTTAAAGCTTGTGATTTGGTGCTCCCTAGTACTTGACTACAAACATATTTCACAGGCTGGGTGACCCCTGTAGAGATATTTGTACCCGAGAGGACTCTACCCCCCCCATGGGTGATCTTAGTTACAGACATTGTATTCTATATTTGTAACCAATGGCAACACAGTAGAGGTTCTATAGCGGACCTTTTATTGACATCGTATAGACATTGGCACATATTTCGCCTTCGTAATTTAGAGTATTCATTACAGGTAACTGAATAACACCATCAAGTTATTCAGCACTGTATACACCATTCAATCACATCAGTCCCTGCCCCAATGAACTGACACTCTAAAGTCCATATCTAACCTAGTAGGGCCAATTAATCTATCAGCGTGGCTTGAGCATGCATCCAAAGTCCATTCAGATGGCGGAGCCTGGATTCAACCCAAGGAACCCAGTGCTACAAGGTGGAAGTGCTACCCACTGAGCCACTGTGGTGACATCATATATGGATCCGATAGGTTCCTCAGCTCAATGATCCTGCACTCAACACCAAGGAACCCAGCGCTACAAGGTGGAAATGCTACCCACTGAGCCACTGTGATGACATCATATATGGATCTGATAGGTTGCTCAGCTCAATGATACTGCACTCAACTGTTAAAATGTCTATAAGGTGGATACAATGTCGTTCCATGGCTGTTTGGGCCTACAGGAGGAATTCCTATCACTTCCTATTCCGTTCTGACACCCACCAACCGCACAGGAAGTTGGGAATGTTTCCCTCACTTCCTGTTCTGTCTGACACCTGTCAAATAGGAAATACTACAAACTCAGACAGAAGGAAATGTTGGCCGAGTTCTGTGTTGACGTGGAATGCAACTTGTCGTCAAAGCCAAAAAAATGAGTGTTGGTTGGACTTGAGCTTGAAGGCACATTGCACTAGACAGGTGAGATCATTCAAGAGGTGGGGTGGCTGAGCACATCCTCAATGGGTGTCACCGGGCACGGCACGGATATTTTCTCTCCTTGGTGTCCTCTCGGAGTACAGGCGTGTCGTGTGTGTGTTCCATCACAACACAGAACTGGCAGCACAAGTTCTGCAACTTCTGGATGAGTTCAGGTCTCTCTAGGTGAGGTCTCATCGCACACACAGAGCTGTGACAGGACAGCTGCCTCGGAGGATTGCACCACCTGGAGAATCCCAGTCCTCCGGGACCACCATGACTAACCTGTGGGGGGCCACGCTGATTGTGCTGGGACTCATGCCAGGTAAGTTTGCTTTGTCTGTTGACTTTTTTATGACTCTCAAATAGGAGACAACGGCAGGTAGAAGCTAATGTATGTGTTGTCCGTGCCAGTCCATTGACTCGGGGATGGCCCAACTGTCAATGTGTCAAGGTTCTGGGGCCCCAAGTGTTGGTATGTCAATGTCCTGAACCCCCAAGTGTCAGTGTGTCATTGTTCTGGACCCCCAAGTGTCAGTGGGTCATTGTTCTGGGACCCCCAGGTGTCAGTGGGTCATTGTTCTGGGACCCCCAGGTGTCAGTGGGTCATTGTTCTGGGACCCCCAGGTGTCAGTGGGTCATTGTTCTGGGACCCCCAGGTGTCAGTGGGTCATTGTTCTGGGACCCCCAGGTGTCAGTGGGTCATTGTTCTGGGACCCCCAGGTGTCAGTGGGTCATTGTTCTGGGACCCCCAGGTGTCAGTGGGTCATTGTTCTGGGACCCCCAGGTGTCAGTGGGTCATTGTTCTGGGACCCCCAGGTGTCAGTGGGTCATTGTTCTGGGACCCCCAGGTGTCAGTGGGTCATTGTTCTGGGACCCCCAGGTGTCAGTGGGTCATTGTTCTGGGACCCCCAGGTGTCAGTGGGTCATTGTTCTGGGACCCCCAGGTGTCAGTGGGTCATTGTTCTGGGACCCCCAGGTGTCAGTGGGTCATTGTTCTGGGACCCCCAGGTGTCAGTGGGTCATTGTTCTGGGACCCCCAGGTGTCAGTGGGTCATTGTTCTGGGACCCCCAGGTGTCAGTGGGTCATTGTTCTGGGACCCCCAGGTGTCAGTGGGTCATTGTTCTGGGACCCCCAGGTGTCAGTGGGTCATTGTTCTGGGACCCCCAGGTGTCAGTGGGTCATTGTTCTGGGACCCCCAGGTGTCAGTGGGTCATTGTTCTGGGACCCCCAGGTGTCAGTGGGTCATTGTTCTGGGACCCCCAGGTGTCAGTGGGTCATTGTTCTGGGACCCCCAGGTGTCAGTGGGTCATTGTTCTGGGACCCCCAGGTGTCAGTGGGTCATTGTTCTGGGACCCCCAGGTGTCAGTGGGTCATTGTTCTGGGACCCCCAGGTGTCAGTGGGTCATTGTTCTGGGACCCCCAGGTGTCAGTGGGTCATTGTTCTGGGACCCCCAGGTGTCAGTGGGTCATTGTTCTGGGACCCCCAGGTGTCAGTGGGTCATTGTTCTGGGACCCCCAGGTGTCAGTGGGTCATTGTTCTGGGACCCCCAGGTGTCAGTGGGTCATTGTTCTGGGACCCCCAGGTGTCAGTGGGTCATTGTTCTGGGACCCCCAGGTGTCAGTGGGTCATTGTTCTGGGACCCCCAGGTGTCAGTGGGTCATTGTTCTGGGACCCCCAGGTGTCAGTGGGTCATTGTTCTGGGACCCCCAGGTGTCAGTGGGTCATTGTTCTGGGACCCCCAGGTGTCAGTGGGTCATTGTTCTGGGACCCCCAGGTGTCAGTGGGTCATTGTTCTGGGACCCCCAAGTGTCAGTGTGTCATTGAGCTCCGGCTATAACACCAGTTCCTGGCCTTGTTCCCATTGTTTCCTGTCTTTATTGGGTTGTAGATTACCTGCACTGCTGTGTGACACGATCAATGCACACAATGCAAATACATAAAAGACTGAACTTTGGTTGTATTGATCAGCTTGTATGAGAGCTCGTTCACACAACGGGTCACACGTCAGCGCACACATAACTCCTGTACGTTTTTTATCCAGAGCTAAACTGCGCTACAATGTGTCTGTAATCCCTTTTCTAAATATTTGCTCATGCTATGCTACTACTATGTACGAGGTACGTTGGTGTAACCTGGACCCATAGGTCATAAGGCAAACTGACATGTTCTTGTGTTGGGCAACGTAGCCCAATGCAGTCCACTGGAGCCCAACGCAACCCAATGCAGTCCGCTGGAGTCCAACGTAACCCAATGCAGTCCACTGGAGTCCAACGCAACCCAATGCAGTCCACTGGGGTCCAATGCAACCCAATACAGTCCACTGGGGTCCAATGCAACCCAATACAGTCCACTGGGGTCCAACGCAAACCAATGCAGTCCAATAAAACCCAATGCAACGCAAGGCAGTCTAACATAGCTCAGTGCAACCCAACACAGTCTAACACAACCCAATGCAGCCCAACGCAACCCAATGCAGTCCAACACAACCCAATGCAACGCAAGGCAGTCTAACACAGCCCAGTGCAACCCAATGCAGTCTAACACAACCCAATGCAGTCCAACACAACCCAATGCAACGCAAGGCAGTCTAACACAACCCAATGTAGTCCAACGCAACCCAATATAGTCCATTGGAGTCCATCGTAATCCAATGCAGTCTAACACAATCCAATGAAGTCCGATGCAACCCAATGCATTCCACTGGAATCCAGTGCAACCAGATGCAGTCCACTAGAGTCCATCGCAACCCAATGCAGTCCAATACAACCCAATGCAGTCTAACACAATTCATTGAAGTCTGATGCAACCCGATGCAGTACACTAGAGTCCATCGCAACCCAGTGCAGTCCACTGGAGTCCAACACAACACATTACGCTGGAGTCCAACGCAACAAAATGCATTCCACTGGACTCCAACACAACCCAATGCAGTGCAACACAACCCAGTGCAGTCCAACACAGCCTAATGCAGTCCACTGGAGTCTACCACAGCCCAATGTAGACCACTGGAGTTCAACACAACCCAATGCAGTCCAATGGAGTCCAACACAACCCGCTGCAGTCCACTGGAGTCCAACACAACCCGCTGCAGTCCACTGGAGTCCAAAGTAAACCAAAGCAGTCCAGTGGAGTCCAACGTAACCCGATGCAGTCCACTGGAGTCCAGCTCAACAAAATACATTCCACTGCACTCCAACACAACCCAATGCAGTCCAACACAATCCAATGCAGTCCAATGGAGTCCAACACAACCCACTACAGTTCACTGGAGTCCAAAGTAAACCAAATCAGTCCACTGGAGTCCAAAGTAAGCCGATGCAGTCCACTGGAGTCCAGCGCAACCCAATGCACACCAATGCAACCCAATGCAGCCTAACACTGCTGGTGTACATCAGCCCTAAAAAAACAAAATCTTAAGCATGTGCCCTGGAAACCCCTCATCTCATTGGGCAGAACCCAGCCACCGATGACTTCATGTAGGTAATGGTTCGGAGATTGGTTGGAGACAGTCAGAGACTGGGGACATGTAACGTGAAACTGCTGGAGATAACTGCTACTAAAGGCCCCTTTACAAATCAATGACTTCCAACTACTAACTGCTGGGTCCTGAGGGCCACATTTCAAATACCAAAGGGCCGCATGTGGCCCTCAGGCCACAGGTTGGGCACCGGGGCTTTATAGGCTGTTACAATTTGGTGGTTCTGGGAGGGTCGTAGTTCCCGAACAAATCACCTTATACAGCATTATTCAAAATTTGGGACTTCACCAGGAAGGACGGAATGTACAGAACTGGCTAGACAGAACCAGATACGGGAAATATCTGTGTGTGGAGATGTGGTAGAGAGGGACCTCCCGGCCCCAAGGGGAGAACAGACATTTTTTGAAGGGTTTCTAGAAGTTTCTTCTCTTTTCTCGGTGATCCGGTTTCTACCTTGTACAATGTTTCAGTTTCTGTTTGTGAGACGAGAGAATCTCAGTGTGAAGGAATTATAAGGAGGGCCAGTTTCGGGCCAAGGAACCATCGATGGTAATAATGCAGAGGGAATACCAATGGCCCATGGACAGACCCTCAATCTTCTTTTGGCTATTTCATTGTCTCAGTTGTCCAGGGGAGAGAGGGTCAGGGGTGCGGGATACCCAAAAATTCCCTCTACTCAATAGTATCTTGTTGTATCTTTGACCTCAGGATAAGGCAGATTTGGTAGGCCAGTTGAGGACCTTTAAGCCCAGACAAGCATTGTGGACCTTTAAGTCCAAAGAGGCAATTTGTGCTTGTGGACCTTTAAGTCCAAAGAGTCAATTTGTGCTTGTGGACCTTTAAGTCCAGATGGCCAATTTGGTTTTATGGACCTTTAAGCCCAGATGGACATTTTGACTTTGTGAATCTTTAAACCCAGGTGGACAATTAGACTTTGTGGACCTTTAAGCCCAGGAGGGCAATTGGTCATTGTGGACCTTTATGTCAAGATGGTAATTTTGACTTTGTGAACCTTTAAGGCCAGATGGGCAGTTTATCATTGTGGACCTTTAAGCTAGGAGAGGCACTTTGTCCTTGTGGACCAGATGAGGAATTTTGTTTTATTGACCTTTATGCCCAGATGGACATTTTGACTTTGTGAATCTTTAAAGCTAGGAGGGCAATTTTTTTATTGTAGACCTTAACACCAGGATGGGAAATTTATCCTTGTGGACCTTTTAAGCCCAGGTGAACATTTTGGCTTGGTGGACCTTGAAGCCCAGATGGGCAATTTATCTTTGTGGACCCTTTATTCCAGGATGGGTAATTTGTCCTAGTGGACTTTTAAGGCCAGATGGGCAGTTTGTCCTTGTGGACCTTTAAGCCCAAGAGGGCAATTTGGTTTTATGGACCTTTATACCCGAGAGACATTTTGACTTTGTGAATCTTTAAGGCCAGATGGGCAATTTGTCATTGTAGACCTTCACACCATGACGGGCAATTTGTCCTTCGGGACCTTTAAGCCCAGATGGACATTTTGACTTTGTGAACCTTTAAGCCCACACGGGCAACTGACTTTATAGAAGAGCAGGAATCTTCTTCAGCTTCCTTCCCCACACAGCAGGCCTGAGAGTCAAGGATCCCTGAAAACGCTCCTGAAACACGTCAGTTAATTCATCCATCCCTGATATGAATGAATTAAAACCACATGGACCATAAGATTGTTTGTGTGGAGCTCTTATTACATTCTCCAGGTTTTTTATCGCTTTCTTTATGGTAGGGACCCTTTTGTTCTTTGATTTGTGTGTTGAAGCCCTGATGAAGGGGGAGATCCGGGGCTCCTGAAACGCGTTGGAATATTCATCCTACCCTAATATAAATGAATATCAAACCTCTTAAGATTATTTGTTTGGGGCTCTTATTATTGTTCATTGTTATTGTTCATATTGTAGCCTTGATGAAGGGGGAGTGGCTGGGCTCATGAAGCGCGTCAGTTAATTCATCCTATCCTGTTATGAATTTATTAAAACCCCATGGACCCTAAGACTCTTTGTGTGGATCTCTTATTACATTCTAAAAGGGTTTCTGTAGCTGACGTTACCATAGAGACCATTAGTTATTTTCTTCTTTTACTTGTGTTGAAGCCCTGATGAAGGGTGAGTTCCGAAGCTCCTGAAACGCGTTGGATGTTTCCTCCTACCCTGTTATAAATTAGTATAAAAACCTCTTGGACTCTAAGATTATTAAATTTTCAAGGTTTTTTCTGCATTGATATGCATGTTGTACCCCTGATGAAGGGTGAGTTCTGAGGCTCCTGAAACGCGTTAGATGTTTCGCCCTACCTAGATATGAATAAATTAAAACCACATGGACCCTAAGATTATTTGTGTGGGTCTACATTTTCAAGGTTTTGAGGTCTCTTCATTGATCATTGATTTGTATGTTGTAGCCCTGATGAAGGGAGAGTTCTGATGCTCTTGAAACGTGTCAACTTATTCATCCTACCCGGATATGAATGAATTAAAACCACACAGACCCTAAGGTTATTCGTGTGGGTCTCCCATTACATTCTGAAGGTTTTATTGCTGTCTTCATGATACGGACCCTTCACTGTTCATTGACTTTTAGGTTGTAGCCCCGATGAAGGGGGAGTGGTGGGGCTCCTGAAACGCGTTGGTTGATTCATCCTACCCTAATAAAAATGAATATAAAACCTCTTGGACTCTAGGATTATTTGTGCGTGGCTCTTTTGACATTTTCAAGGTTTTTAGGTCCCTTCATTGTTGATTGATGTGTATGTTGCAGCCCTGATGAAGGGAGAGTGGAGTGCTGAAACGCGTCGGAGTGTTTAATCATACCCGGATATGAATGAATTTAAACCACACAGACCCTAAGATTATTTGTGTGGGTCTCCTTTTAAATTCTGAAGTTTTTATTGCTGTCTTCATGATAGGGACCCTTCACTGTTCATTGATTTTTTAGGTTGTAGCCCTGATGAAAAGGGGAGTGACGAAGCCCCTGAAACGCGTCAGTGTTTTATCCTACCCCAATACAAATGAATTAAAAACTTCTCAGACTTTAAGATTAGTTGTGGAGCTTTTTGCTGAAAGCTTTCCACAGCTGTCTTTATCTTATATACCCTTCATCTTTTTGTTCTTATATTCGTATGTTGTATCCCTGATGAAGGGGGAGTGTTGGGGCACCTGAAACGCGTCGGTTGTTTCATCCTACCTGGATATGAATGAATTTAAACCACACGGACCCTACGATCATTTGTTTGGGTCTCTTATTACATTCGAAAGGTTTTATTACTGTCTTCATGATACGGACCCTTCCGCTGTTCATTGATTTTTAGGTTGTAGCCCTGATAAAAGGGGGTGTGGCTGGGCCACTGAAATGCGTTGGATGTTTTATCCTACCCCAATATACATTAATTATAAACCTCTTAGACTTTATGATTATTTGTGGAGCTTTTCTTACATTCTAACGGTTTTCTATCGCTATTTTTTTAAATCTTATGGACCCTTCATCATATTTGTGTGTTGAAGCCCTGATGAAGGGGGAGTGTCAGGGCTCTTGAAACGCGTCAGGGTTAAAAACAGGGAAATCTCACTTCCTGTTGGGCAGGAAGTGAAGGGGACATAAAACACAGCCCCTCACGAATTTGGGTCTAGCAGAGTGGCCGGGCAGCGGCAGGTTGTTACTTTGTACAGGTTTGGGGCCCGGCGCTGCAAGGAGACAACCTGCACCGGTCTCCAGAGGCAGTGTGAGCTGGAGGAACGCGGCTCTGGGTGCAGCGGTCACGTGACGCGAGGAGAGGAAGTGTCAGGGGAAGACGGCGGCTGAGATTCTTCACATAACTTCCAAGTTGCTCGACCGGTTTTCCAGTTTCTGTTGATCCTCCTCGAAATGCGGGTGAAAGTGCCTCGCGCCCCGGAGAAATATTTACAGAGATCGCCGGGGCGACGGGTCTCTCCGGCGAATCCGGGGGCCACAATGGGGCAATCGTCCTTGCCTCGAAACTCCGTTCATTGCATCAGAGCTGAGGGCTCTCGAGAGGAGTACTGAGGCAGGGTGTGTGTTCAGGAAGCCGTGTTTAGCCCCCTGTTGGCCCCTCCCACCAGCCATGATCTGCCTGCATTGCATAGAGAAGCGCAGAGACCCAGTGATGACATCACCGGGACTAAAACGAAAGGCACTGCAACGCATTTCATGTCCACAGACAACAGTATAATCATTGCAGACCATGTGACTGTCATGGGGCCCCCCAGGTGTATAGGGCCCGGAGCTGTCTGGATGCAGAATGAATGGTGCAGGATATGATCACTGGATGGAGGGATTAGAGGGCCCCCCATACATGTAGTGACAGCCCCGCCATGACTTTGAATTCCAGAGACGGCCTTAGGGAGGATTAGTGGTGTTTACATACCGGTCACGCTCCGCGGTCCGTGTTACATGGCGGTATGTAATAACCTGGCACACGTGTACACGTGTAATAATTACTGTGCGCCGGGAAGAATCTGTCTGATGGCAGAAGATGATTAGCTGTGGGTAGAGACCAGAGCACCTGGAGTGATCCCAGACAAACACGAGGAGCACATACAAACTCCATGCAGACATTGTCCATAGTGCCAGCTGAAAGCACGCTATGTGCCAGCAGCAGACTGATCACTGTGGGGAGGGGAGACTGAGGAAATGCTCCTTCCTGCCTGCAGCAGACTGATCACTGGGGGAGGGGAGACTGAGGAAATGCTTCCTCCTGCCCGCAGCAGACTGATCACTGGGGGAGGGGAGACTGAGGAAATGCTTCCTCCTGCCTGCAGGAGACTGATCACTGGGGGGAGGAAATGTTTTATCAGATGAAACGTGAGCAGAGCGAGCTCCTAACATTCCGATGTGCTCATCATAGAGATCGGGAATCATAGAGGATGAAGCGTGAGGAGCAACCAGAGGAGAGTTATAGAGGAAGGAGCAGAGTCCTCCAGCAGAGCAGAGTATATCAGGAGAGGAGAGTTATAGAGGAAGGAGCAGAGTCCTCCAAAGTGTCCGCAGTCGGTGTGGCAATCAGGTGATAGATGGCGGAAATGGCGTGACTGGTGGACTGAGTGCTTGTGCACATCTCCTCGAATGCTGTAAGGCGTCTGTCTAGTTCCTGTGAGTCAGGTATTGCCCTAAGAAAGTGCCGGAGCTGCATGGCGCTCCAAGGGTCCAGGGGGGGTTCAAGTAGAAGACGCAAAGCCTGAGCCGTCAGCCACCCAGAGTTAGCCCGAAAGTCCCTTACTCTATACTTGTCCGCTTTGACCAGGCGACCTAGTCGAGAATTTTCCGCACCTGGGGCGAAGTCGGGATCCCCAATGATAGGAGTCAGGGGTGAGGGAGAAGGGGCCAAAGAAGTGTTGCGCATCACCGTGCGCGCAGCACGGACGGTAGAGGCGATCAACGGGTGACCCTTCATCTCGGGCGGGAGTGGGGAACAGTGCAGTTGAGAATGTCTCCTCGGCAGAGAGCCGGTCTCACGGCTCATGACCCGTCGGAGCAGGTACAGAGGACGAATGCAGAGAGTAGCGGCGTCTGCTCCTGGATGGGCGAGCTACTCGTTGACTGCGAGGGAGTGTGGGCGCGGCGCCAGTCGGAAAGTCCAGCCAGTCCGGGAGGTCAAGCGGTTTCATATCCAGCCAAGCAAACAGATCCTGGAGCTGGGATGGGGAATGAAGGGCAAAGGTACGCTCCCGATGTTGTATGAGAACATGAAAAGGGTGCCCCCAGCGATATGTAGCGCCTGCCGTGCGGAGCCCATCCAGAAGTGGCTTCAGCATTCTGCGCATCCTCAACGTGTGGCGGGAGAGGTCCGGCATCACCTTAATATTAGCACCGTCAAAGTCCAGGGGACCTTTGATCCAGGCCTTCCTCATAGAGCAGAGTATTTTTGATGATGGATGGCTGTGTTGGGTTGGTTGTGTCCTCGGGCAGATCCTGGGGGATCCTGTTGGGTAGAACCGTTGGCTCTGACCCTTCTCTCCGGCTCGGGGTGATGGATCTGGTCGGGTAGTTGAATCTGGAAACTCAACATTGCAGCGACTTGGATGGACATGTGGTCCCATCACTGGGGTCAGGGGTCATCTCCATGGTACAATGTCTAGAGTGAACGCCGGTCTTTGAGGGCAACCATGACAAGCTCTAGTTGGGTCTTCATGTGTCATGTCCGTCCCTCACCATGTAGATGTATGTATAGTATTGATGGTTATAGATATCATTGGAGCATCCAAGACATGAATGTCAATAGAGGAGCAGAAGGTGGACCTCACCCATGGCTGCTACCACAAGCAGGTCCGCCTGTTATTTATCTCAGATTCTGGTAGCTGTGGATATGTCCTGACTTCTTCCTGAATTCTGTCTGCACCTATTGGCCACTCTTTTGTTTCCACGTGTTGTATAAATCTATTGTATCCCCGTTCTCTCCCTTGCAGCATGGCTCGGCGCTATCACCATCCAGGAGCCGAGTACCGAGTCCATCACCAAGGCCAAAGGGGACACCGTAACGCTTGGCTGTACCTACACCGTGGATGCCTCTGAGACGGGGAATCTAGACATCGAGTGGGCAAAGATGAACCCGGACAGCAGCGGCCTGGACACCGTGGTGGGTACCAAAAATATCTAGATCGTGGGTTAGCTCAAGCCAAGACAAGGACCGCCCAACCTACTAGGCCAACCCATTCTCCAGAAGCTAAGGGCCAGTAACTCATCCATCGGGTAGTAGAAGGAAAGGCAACTTTTGGATGGAACTAGGTTGTGGAGATAGCTAATTGATGTAAAATTTAGCTCCACCCCTCACTTTACTAAGCCCTACCCCCTTTTGTTGAATTATGAAATGTCCAGGCACTCAATGCCTAGAGGGTCTTCAGCCCGGTGTAAGCTCCGAGTTGATTGGAGTTGGAAGATTAACACAGGAACATGTAGGCAACTCAAGGTTTCCTTCACCATCACTGTTGTCCTACTGGGATCACTTTAAGTCCAGGTCAGCCATAGACATCTGGAGGCACTCAAGTCCAACAATGGCCCCCATGAAAGAGTTGAGGAGTTTAGGACCTTCTCAACTTCCCCATCTCCTTATTCTTCCCCAGATCCTCACCTACATGGGCAACCAAATCGTCAGCAAAGGGCCTCCAACCCTCATAAGAAGCCTTACATTTAGGACCTTCTCAACTCCTCCATTTCCATCTTCTTCTTCTTCCTTAGATCCTCACCTACATGGACAACCACATTTTCAGCAACCCTTATGAGCCGCATTACATTAAGGACCTTCTCAACTTCTCCATCTCCTTCTTCTTGCTTAGATCCTCACCTACATAGACAACCAAATCATCAGCAAAGGGCCTCCAACCCTCATGAGAAGCCTTACATTTAGGACCTTCTCAACTTCTCCATCTTCTTCCCTAGATCCTCACGCACATGGACAACCAAATAGTCAGCAAAAGGCCTGCAACCCTAATGAGCCACCTTACATTTAGGACCTTCTCAACTTCTCCATCTTCTTCCCTAGATCCTCACGCACATGGACAACCAAATAGTCAGCAAAAGGCCTGCAACCCTAATGAGCCACCTTACATTTAGGACCTTCTCAACTTCTCCATCTTCTTCCCTAGATCCTCACGCACATGGACAACCAAATAGTCAGCAAAAGGCCTGCAACCCTAATGAGCCACCTTACATTTAGGACCTTCTCAACTTCTCCATCTTCTTCCCTAGATCCTCACGCACATGGACAACCAAATAGTCAGCAAAAGGCCTGCAACCCTAATGAGCCACCTTACATTTAGGACCTTCTCAACTTCTCCATCTTCTTCCCTAGATCCTCACGCACATGGACAACCAAATAGTCAGCAAAAGGCCTGCAACCCTAATGAGCCACCTTACATTTAGGACCTTCTCAACTTCTCCATCTTCTTCCCTAGATCCTCACGCACATGGACAACCAAATAGTCAGCAAAAGGCCTGCAACCCTAATGAGCCACCTTACATTTAGGACCTTCTCAACTTCTCCATCTTCTTCCCTAGATCCTCACGCACATGGACAACCAAATAGTCAGCAAAAGGCCTGCAACCCTAATGAGCCACCTTACATTTAGGACCTTCTCAACTTCTCCATCTTCTTCCCTAGATCCTCACGCACATGGACAACCAAATAGTCAGCAAAAGGCCTGCAACCCTAATGAGCCACCTTACATTTAGGACCTTCTCAACTTCTCCATCTTCTTCCCTAGATCCTCACGCACATGGACAACCAAATAGTCAGCAAAAGGCCTGCAACCCTAATGAGCCACCTTACATTTAGGACCTTCTCAACTTCTCCATCTTCTTCCCTAGATCCTCACGCACATGGACAACCAAATAGTCAGCAAAAGGCCTGCAACCCTAATGAGCCACCTTACATTTAGGACCTTCTCAACTTCTCCATCTTCTTCCCTAGATCCTCACGCACATGGACAACCAAATAGTCAGCAAAAGGCCTGCAACCCTAATGAGCCACCTTACATTTAGGACCTTCTCAACTTCTCCATCTTCTTCCCTAGATCCTCACGCACATGGACAACCAAATAGTCAGCAAAAGGCCTGCAACCCTAATGAGCCACCTTACATTTAGGACCTTCTCAACTTCTCCATCTTCTTCCCTAGATCCTCACGCACATGGACAACCAAATAGTCAGCAAAAGGCCTGCAACCCTAATGAGCCACCTTACATTTAGGACCTTCTCAACTTCTCCATCTTCTTCCCTAGATCCTCACGCACATGGACAACCAAATAGTCAGCAAAAGGCCTGCAACCCTAATGAGCCACCTTACATTTAGGACCTTCTCAACTTCTCCATCTTCTTCCCTAGATCCTCACCTACATGGACAACCAAATCATCAGCAAAGGGCCTCCAAACCTCATGAGAAGCGTTACATTTAGGACCTTCTCAACTTCTCCATCTTCTTCCCTAGATCCTCACCTACATGGACAACCAAATTGTGAGCAAGGGACCTTCAACCCTGATGAGCCGCCTTACATTTAAGCAAGCAGACCCTAGCAAGGGTGACGCCGCCATCATCATTACCTACCTGGATGTTGTAGATACGGCAATCTACCAGTGCAAAGTCAAGAAGATAAACGGATTGGGTTCTCGAAAAATCAGTCTAGGCATTCAAGGTACGTGGTTGTTTCTTACTGTCCTATTTATGTGTGTGTGTAAAAAGAGGGCTGGACTCCCATGCATGCTCCTCCCCTGAGGAACTCATGGAGGGTCTTCCTCCAAGGAACCCATGATAACATGCAGCAATTACAGACAGTAGTAAAAGGATATGGCGGCAGGAGGACCAGAAGCTAGAAATGTTTCATGTGAACTGAGACGTTGTAACCATTTGTTTACCAGGAAAGCTGAAGTTGAATCTGCTCATATTGTGCCTCCCCTCCCCCCTCATCAAATGGCTTCCTTCCATTTTCATTATATGACATCATAGATCTAATACGAGATCCGTTATCTCTGTGATTATAGTCTTACCGTCTCCTCCCCGATGCTCGATCGAAGGCGACCAGAGCAAAGGCAAGGACGTCACCCTGAAATGTAGATCTGATGAGGGATCCCCACCGCTGTCCTATGTATGGAAGAAGATAGCCGGACCGGCCAACCCGGCAGTGCCGGTCCTCAACCTGAGTGAGTATCTCTATATATTAATATACACTATATAGCCAAAAGTATTGGGCCCCTCCCCCTCCAAATCATTGGATTCAGGTGTTCCGTGACATTTCCCGGCTACTAAATATTCCGTGGTCACCTGTTACTGGTATTATAGTATCTGGGGAGCGGTGATGTCACTCCTGTATAATATATCTTTACAATTATAATTACTTTCCTGTGTCACCTCCAGGACCTCTAAACGGAGATTTGCTCATCAAGAATATCTCGGAAGTCTACGCCGGGGAGTACCAGTGCACGGTAACCAACATGGTCGGCAGTGGGACCTGTGTGGCCGACCTGGCCGTGGCTTCAGGTGAGTGCTGATGACCTACAGGCAAGGACAATATATCCAGATACCGTCCAATCAGATCTGTCCGTGGTCGGTATGTGGAAGATGATTGGCAGCTGGCGGTGGGGAGTCTCTGGGCATTGGGGGGTAACGGTGCCCACATGGGGTGTTGGGTCCGTTGGCCGTTCCGTAGTCATGGACGGAATTCATGATGAGGAAATGATGATATTATTAGTAATGATGATGATGATAGGTGGTGACCGCGTCTCCTCTCTACCCCGCCGCAGCGAATCGGACCGGGATTATAATCGGTGCCGTGTTGGGGGCCCTCCTCCTCCTCCTTCTTCTCCTCCTACTCATCTGGTGTCTGATTTGCTGCTGCAACAAACGGCGATACGAAAAAGAAATTGCCAACGACATCCGGTAAGAATGAAAACCGACAGCGACCGCCATTAGCAAAGTGTCCACAAGATGGCAGCGCGACACCAGTAATGCCCGACAGTTACTTCTGATAGAGAGAACCATAACCCAAAACACATACACTGGCAGGCAGGGCCGGATTTCCCACAAGGCCACCGAGGCCCGGCTCGGAGTAGAGGGACAGCGCAGCGCCGGGCGTGTAGTTTTTCTCTACATTTAACCCTGCTTCGGGCAATTGAGGAACCCGGCCTTGGGGCAGCAGAGAGAGTAAATCTGGCCCTGCTGGCAGCTGGCCGTCTGGCACCAACAAAGTCCGACAGGGACAACTTTTCACAATAACAGTCTATTTATAAAACAATTCACACAGCCGTTCGCCCTGTGAAGCTCTGCGAACGTTCGTTCTGTGGGAATAGAGGCAAAAACGAACGTTCTTATTATACTTTCTTCACAAGTCAAATGCAATTTTTTATTGTAATATTGTTAGAGTGTAATAGGGCCACTAGGTGGAGCTGAGGAGCATAGGAAATGCTTATTGTCTTTACTCCTCAGCCCCATCTAGTGGTCATAATCCAGTATTACATCCGACTTGTATGCAATGAGCAAGTGGGCAACTATCTCTGTGATAGCATTCTCCTTGTTTACTACTTCCTCCTGGCCACTTCTGGACAGGGCAAGGGGCTGCAGGGAAAGTTTAGAAGAGTCAATAGAACAATGACACACTGACACTTGGGGGTCCAAAACAATGACACACTGACGCTTGGGGATCCCAGAACAATGACACACTGACACTTGGGGGTCCCAGAACAATGACACACTGACACATGGGGTCCCAGAACAATGGCACACTGACACTTGGGGGTCCCAGAACAATGACACACTGACACTTGGGGGTCCAGAACAATGACACACTGACACTTGGGGGTCCAAAACAATGACACACTGACACTTGGGGGTACCAGAACAATGACACACTGACACTTGGGGGTCCCAGAACAATGACACACTGACACTTGGGGGGTCCCAGAACAATGACACACTGACACTTGGGGGATCTCAGAACAATGGCACGCTGATGTCAATGTTAAATGTTGTCTTTCCCATCTACAGAGAGGACGTCATTGCCCCACCGCCAAGTAACACCAACAGCCGCGCCAGCTCCGTCCGTACCGCAGCCGGTTACCGGGCCCACAACATCAGCTACTCCCTGCGAAAGATCTACAACGCGGCGCCCAGACATGAGCCAACGGCCCCGTCCTTGTCCGGAAGCGAGCCAACTAAAGTCAAGTTTGAGAGTCCCGCGTCCACGCCGGAACCAATCCGGGTCATTCCAAGCACAACGCAGTATAATCCGTACAACATCCAGAGGGTCGGCGGCGGGGTCCCGGTGATGGTCCCGGCACATAGCAGAGAAGGGTTCATTGTGTAGGAAGTTCTTCAATGTTTTGTTTTCCACCATGAAGATCTCTTCCAGACAGTCGGAGACGTGTGTGATGGACGATGTATAATGTGCAAAAATCTTTTCTATAAAGTAAATAATGTAAAAA